ACTTTGATGCAGCCACTTTTTCCTTCGGATGCCGCCTGCATCAGATGCAGTACCAAGCACTTTGGGCTGTCCTTCAAAGCAGGTGGTCTCAACATCCGCCCAATTTTTCCGAAAGCGCATTTGGTGCATGAGACACTGTACAGATACCTTTCGGTACAAAGAGGCAAGCCAACCACGAGCCTCGTTTTGGATTTGCCCACGATCAAGCCAATTCCGGAACCGGAAGACCTTGATCTTGATCCCTCGACCCAGAGGAGGAACTATATCCGTCTCATTCAGTCACGGAGGTGAGGGGTTCGCGCGTTGTGGTTTTTTGGGGGCCCCTTTTTCTGGTTTGTGCTTGGTGTTCCCCCTGTTCTTTCCCGTTTGCGCGAACTTTCGACCCTCAAGCCGATGCAATAGACATCGATGTTAATGTCAAACAAGAGGGGCAGTGGCGTTCGCTAATAGCCGGCGTCATTGCTCCAGGCTAAGAAGCCAAAGCGTGTGTTGATCGTGGGGAAAAGCTTGATCTCCCCCATTCGTCCTTTGCGTTACGCAACTTCCCAAATTCGAAGACGGGAGACGTGTGAGCAGTTTCACATCGCTCCCATAAGATTGACGGGGGCAATCCTGTGCCCTGCGCAGGATTGACGGGGCAATCCTGAGCGCAGGATGGGGCAGGGCGATGGCCCGGCGATGGCCCGGGGCTGGCTTTTTTGCTGTGAGAACCATGCTGCGGAAGCTCCGTCAACGATATCGCGTCGATATGGTTGAAAGCACGCAATCGGCACGCATTCGGCGCACAGCAATGGCCCGGCGATGGCCCGGCGATGGCCCGGCGATGGCTCTTGGCAAAATAGGGAAGCTTGGAGCGAAGTCGGAATTCCGACCTTGGTGGGAGAGCGAAGTCGGAATTCCGACCTCGGTGTCAGAGCGAAGTTAGAATTCCGACCTTGTGCCTCGATACCCGGCCATTATTGAGGCAATATTGAGTTGTCTTGAAGCAACGAAAGGGCAACATTGGATCAATATTGACACAGCCCGGACAGCAGCAGCTGCAGCGGAGCAGCAGCAGTGAACTGCAGAGAACCAGCAGCAGCGAACTGCAACGGAGCAGCAGCAGCCAACTGCAGCAACAGCTGCAGACTGCGCCGCGCGAAAGCGCGAACATAGAACATCGCACCTCTCTCTTTAGAGGGGATTCCCCAAACGGGTCTTATTTCGCCTGGGAGGGTTCTGAGGCCCGTCCGTCCAGGAAACGACCTCGTCCTGCGAAGGATTCGAAATCTAAAATGCTGCGTGCAGGCGTGTGGCTGCAACACAACGACCCCTCGATTTGCGGTTTGGCAATTTGCCCCGTAGCTGCTTTTGTTTCTGCAAGGCGAGCCCCCGAAACCCTTTTTTTGGAACCCCCCGGTCGTCGGCCGGTCGTCGGCCGGTCGTCGGTCGGTCGTCGGTCGGTCGTTCGGCCGTCGGTCGGTCGATAGATCGTCGGTCGGTCGTTCGGCCGTCGGTCGGTCGGGGTTCCCCCTTTTTTTCCCTGGTTTTTAGCTCGCCTTGCAGAAACGCAGCTACGGGGCAAATTGCAAGCAAATCGAGGGGTCGTTATGTTGCAGCCACGCGCCTGCACGCAGCATTTTAGATTTCGATTCCCTCGCAGGACGAGGTTGTTTCCTGGACGGACGAGTGTCAGAACCCTCCCAGGTGCAATAAAACCCGTTTGGGGAATCCCCTCTAAAGAGAGAGTCGGAGCAACGGCTTCTTGATACTGGCTCGCCCAACGTCTCAATTTTCGACAGGCTGCCTTGGAGATCCCTCTCATTTTTTTGGGCAGACCGATTTGACCCTGTTAATCCGAGATCCGGGGTGCGCAAATTGGAGGCCGAGACAAGGTTCCAGATCGCCGCCAAGGCCGGGTCAAACAAACTAGCAAGTCATGCATGTGGTGACCGCTTGTAACTCGAGCGCCTGCCAGCATGTAGCCGATTTGTTCAAGAAAAGCAGCAGAGACGCCTTTACGAAATCAGGTCCTCTCCCCTAGATTGGAGTTTTCGGTTGTCCCCTTCCCTGACGTTCTTGGGTCCTCTCCTCTGGCTGTTTGGGGTTCTCGGGTTGTCCCCCTCCTGAGGTCCTCGAGTCCTCTTCTTTGGCTGTTTGGGGGTCTCAGCTTGTCCCCTTTTGTAAGGTTCTCAGGTCCTCTTCCCTGGCTGTTTGGGGTTCTTGGGTTGTCCCCTTCCCACCTGGTTTTGGGTGACCCCTAGGACTTCGACGGTCGATCGATCGCCAGGCGCGCACGCACGCCCGCCAGCGCTTTGTTTTTCTCTTTTGGTTAGACGCTTGGCTTCGAAACAAGCAGTTTCTTTCAGCCCCCTTCATCTTCAGTCTTCTTCAATTACCGTCCTCTCTTTCAGTAATCTCTTCAATCCTTTCCAATCCTTTGAGTCCCCGATAGTCCCCTTTCAGCCCCTTTCCGTCCCTTTCAGCCCCCAGTCCCTTTCAGTCCTTTTCAACCCCCTGTCCGTCTGGTTCAGATGTATCAGTTCTCCGTCGCTTTCAGTCTTTTCAAGTCCTTTAATCCCTTTGATTTTTCAGTCGCTTCAGTCCTTCTTCAGCCCCTTTCAGTTCCCTCAGTGCCGTTCGGTCCCCTTCGGTCCCCTTCAATCCCTTTCAGTCCCTTTGAGTCCCTTTCAGCCCTGCTTTGGGTCTGTTTCGGTCCCTTTCAGTCCCTTCAGTCTTTTCCAACCCCCTTCTTCAGTTTCAGTCCCCTTCACTCCCTTCAGTCCCTTTCAGTCGTCACTTCAGTCCCCTTCAGTCCCTTCAGTCCCTTTCAGTCCTCTTCGGCCCCCTTCCCCTTCAGTCCCCTTCGGTCCCCTTCAGTCCCTTTCAGTCCCCTTCAACCCTGCTTTGAGTCTGTTTCAGTCCCTTTCAGTTTCAATTCCTTCACTCCCTTCAGTCCCTTTCAGTCGTCACTGGGCATCTGTGCAGGCTCCGCATGGGGGGTGCAGGGATAGGGAGTGGACACGCGTTGTCGCTCCTCCTGCACCCCTGAGCCTGAACTTCTGAGCAACGCCGACAGAAAGGGAGCGGAGCGTCTTAGGGTCGGTCGGGCTCCTCTTTTTCATGGCTGTTCCTTGAAGCAGTGAACAGGATTCTAACATTTAAGATTCTTTTTTCTGGTAGGTCATCCAGCGTCCAATTGCTCCTTGACTTGCCTTGAGTGCGTGTTGCACGGCTCGTCGCCATTCCATATCACCTTGCCGTAGGAGTGGTAGACAAGCAAATTTACCAACAGATTGTGTCTTTGAGACGCCGGGCTCGATTTGGTGTGCAGCATGTCGCCTTTCCGTACAAATGGTTGTCTGTGCTCAGTGGTGGTGTGTTATTCATTAACGCCCTTTCTATGGCAGGCGGAAGGTTGGTACCGCTCGCCGGCTTTAACTACCTGTGCAGCCAAGTGCAGCCGTTTTCTTCCGCCTGGGTTTTGCTTGTGGAATAGTTATTCGGCACCTCTTGAGGTAGAGCACGCAAGGTGGATGAACTTCTGTTGCAATTGATCTTGAGCGGTTTCACAATCGGCACCTTTGCAGATGCTACTTCATATCAGTGCACAAGCATATGGATGGTCGTTTTCATTGACGATCATCTTGGAGAATGTGGGGTGTGCACAGCTGGTTTCTGTTACAGATAGTAGATGCACTAGTCCCTCTTGGTGAACAGTGTTGTTGGGGATTGGCGACTACTTGGTGCTAGGGTGCCCGGTTTGCTGTGCCAATGATTGCTGGGCGATTGCAGGTACGCTCGGGGTCTCTTCCGTTTTTGCTCACGTGTTGCGGCTTTATGGGGCATGTGGGAACACATGGCTAAACCATGCGAGTACCTGGCCCTTTTTTTTTCTTGCATGTGCCCATCTTGTAATTAGGGAATTCGTTTGGGTTCTCCCTCTTTTACTTCATGCATACAGAGTCTCTTCAGTCGACCGTTTTATGGATCGTGCTCTGGCTTAGTTTCTGCCCCTGTGGGCTTCTGGTGTACTTTACCCAAAGTTTGTTCCACCGTTTTAGGGGTTGTTAGGTCGCCCTATGGGCCCCCCTGGCAACTCGGAGCGTTTGATGAACGACATGGGAAAAAAAGGAACATGATTTGATACCGTTTTGCAATTTTGACCTTTGAGACACGCAAATAGGATTCGTTTGAGATGGGTTTCTTTCTATTTATATTGAGTGTGGAACTTGTAAATCAAAAAATCAAACACAAATAAACACACAAATATGTGTATACATATATATATATATATATATAAATGATGGTATATAGGAACGTCCCCACCAAAAAGCGAGGACAATCGTGTGCTTTCATTTGCAGAGCACGGCACAAACATCTGCGTGGTTTTTTGGCAGGCACAGAACGAGAGACCGACAAGTGGGAACCGAGTGAAGCTTTGCAAGCGTGTGAATACATAGGCTTCATAGCAAAAAGATCTGCAGCCCGGGCGTCCAAACTTTTCCATCATTGGAAATAACAACCATGCTTCTGTGGCAAGAAAACCGATTCCATAATTGGAGTCACGTTAAGACAGACGCTGAATAATACGACTTCTGCAGGATATTGTACAAGGTGGAGATCTTAAGAAGAAACATCTGGCATGATACTATGTTCTTCTCGGTTGCTGTCTGCACGGCAATGTGCTGTTTTCCTTTCTTGGCGTTGACAACTACACTTGCCAAGTACCTAGCTCTGATTGAAAAACAACCCAGGCCTGTCAATGCCTCTGATATGTTTTGAGTACAAACCATTCAGACAAACAAGCTCAGATGAGCACGGTATAAGGCCGGGCTGCTTTGCAGTATCCTTGGCCGCTGTGGTTCGTAATTTGTGGCATTGCTAAGAACACGTTCGAGATGGGCGAGCCATGAACTTGCAGAGAGACAGTGGTCACATTTCACTCGCTTACTGCCACGGTCACAGATTTGTTGCTTTCAATCAGCATGTGCGAACATGTTCCATTACAGCAACAAAACAGCTGCACCCCTTTGATGGCACCTTTGCTTGGGAATTGCAAGCCATGGAGGCTCGCTTCATGCCAGATATTTGCTTCATCATCTTTGCGATTTGGTTCACTTGCAGAGTCGACTTGCGAGTGCTCAGGTTGTGATTCAGCTGAAAGGTGGGGCCAACTTGTCGACGCACAGCCAGGACAGCTTGTTCCGTGATGTTCCAAGTCTCGAATCTGCATGCCTGCCAGGATGAGATCTTGCGAGCAGTTCAGGCCACTTGTTGTGAAACATGTTTGTTGGCTTGCGGATTAGTGGAAGGACCCCCCTCCCACCAAATAAGCTCAGGTGGTATCCCCAACAGCATTCGGTGCTCTTTTGCCCTCGCAGAACATTGTGGAACCCTGGTGGAACCCTGGTGGAACCCAGGTGGAGACCTGGTGGAACCCTGGTGGAACCCTGGTGGAACCCTCGCGGAACCTTGCCTCAGGGCCGCCCCGGACCACCCCGAGCCTATCTGGGCTGAGACCCCAACGCTTTCAGCTGTTGGGGAAAAAAACAAAAAGAACCATGATGTGTAGGATCGGACACTTCTAGGCGCCTTTTTTCGGGCTCCCTTGCGAACAGATGGCCAAACAGACTCTTCTGCTTAGGATGAGTACTTCAACCGCTACCTCCATCAGCTGGGCATTGCGCCAACAGCTGCCAACAAGGCGCACAACCGCTCGCAGGGTGAAAATGAACAGCTCCCAAGACCCATTCCGTTTTGGTAGGCTTTGCCCGGTTTAATTGGAACTCGTTGTTTTATTTTGAATCTGGCAAACCTCTGGCAAACCTAAAGGAAACCAACCTTCTTGGGGTTCACACCCAATATAGCTACACAAAAGTCAATGGGTGAAACAGGCGCTGCTCAATCGAGGAAAACTTTGGAAACCTGGTGTGACTTTTGTCACAGTGTCCTCTCCTTTGCAGCTTCCAACGAGGACCATTTTGCTGAACACCCCAGGACATCCTGGAGTTTCTCAAAATGGATGTCGGGTCCCCTTTTGGTTGGTATTGAAAGGAACACCAAAAGGAAGCCGTTGCCATTTCAGGAAGGGGACCAAATCCTACTTCCCATCCTGACGAGGCGCAGATGATGAAGTTCAGACCCATGGATGACTGCGAAGTGCACGGGGTTTGGGCGCGGCTCTTAGCTGACCACGACTTCCATGTTAAATAGGGCCAAATTGGGAACTCGCCCTTGGCCCTTCCCCAGTAAAACCAAAAGGACACTGTTTCAAGTCAACATATGTGAAAAGGGCTGCGGCCTGACAGCAAGTCGCTCGTGCAGAATGGGGAATTGTCTGAAGTGTGGGAAGGGGATGTGGTTGGGACGTTGGTTCCAGCACAGTAGTTGCCCCTGATCCTGGATTCCAACTGGCTTTGGCACGTCCCTCAATTCACATCTTGGTGCTCAGTAGGGAATGTGGGAATGAACCCAGGGGTTGGATGGTTCATGGCGGTCATTCCAACTCATTCGCACGAGCAGTTTGGTAGATTCAGTGAGAGGGTGGGTGTCTTGTTGTGGATGGTGCCCTCATTGAAACTGATTTTCAAGAGATGCCAACTTCACGCCAACCAGTTTGGTGGGTCAGACATTTGAGACAAGAAACATGTGGGATCCCCCTCTACCTAAGTGGGGTCTCCTCCAAAATCAAAACGGAGTCCGAACATGTTTTGCTGCAGCAAGTAGGGTGGGGCCACCCATTGGTTTAAACATGTTTAAACCACTGGTTATGATGATTGTTCCCTTCTGTGATTAGCCATGTCTTAAACCATCACCAGGGATGTCGCGATAGTGACTGACCGGTGGTGTTTGGCTCAAGATTTTGGGTTCCGTCGCGCCTCGAATGGGCGTCGCCGAACCCCTGCGTCGACCGACGGCATCTCGGGGGAGAAAGAGACCTCGGGCTGCCGCCAGGTTGGTAGGGACCAGTCGTGCGGCCTGTTGTCGATCAAGGTTGCGGGTTAACCCTTTTCTTGTTTGGTTTGTTTCCTTTTTTGGTTGTTGTTCTCTGGTGTGTGGGAAACCCTGATCTTTGGGACCGGGGATTGGTTTGCTTTTGGGGAACCTTTCTTTTGTGGCTTGTTTACCCCAACTTACCCATTGCCTGGGCACAGGCTCGTGCCCGAATCACAGGTTATCAGCCGTAGGACTTTCCTACGCGCTTGAGACCATCAACTACAAGCTCTATGTCGACCCCACGATCACACAGGAGTGTCGTGGATGAGGAGGCCATCCTAGGGGGCCTCCGCTCAGGTGAGGACCTACCGGACTTCGATTATGAGGATTTCGAAGCAGGTTCGGCAGGTCAGGACCGCAGGGGTGAAGATCCCGGTAGGGACACACCCAGGAGCCGTGGCAGGTACACCGACGATGGAGACGATCGCATTTTCCGTCAGGCCACTGATGATGAGCAGACACGAAGGGTTCGCTCCGATAGGAGCGGCTCTGAATCAGGTCACAGGCGCGGACAGTTCGACTTCATCAGCATGGCGATGAACATGGCCCGCCCTCATTCGGACGACCCGGAGGCCATGCCGACCCGACCCCCGAGACCTCTTGTTCCAGGTGAATCGCAGGTCTCGGATGAGTTTGAGGACAGGCCGCAAGGACCAGGGACTATGGTTTTGGCTCCGAGAGATATCTCGGGTCGATCCACTGGTTCTCAAAATCCAGGTCAGTTTGTGGAGCACGAGGAGCGGAAGTTCACAGGTTTCGGATACGATGCTCTGTTGAAATCAACCGCAGGCTGGGGCAGTAGCTCAAAGCAGGGATCTGATGCCGATAGGCCCAACCCCAATACTGCCAAGTCTGAATTTTATGATGGCGAAGATTACAATTTTGCGGATGAGGAGGAGGACCGTTCGCGCCGAGATGCGGGGAACCGTGCTGCTGCAAGGCCTAGCCCTGCCTCTGCCAAGTTTGAGTTCGATGATGATGATGAATATGCCGCATTTGCGGATCGTCGTGATGAGGAAGAGAACCAATCACGCCGAAATGCTAGGATCCGTGCTGCTGCGAGGCCCAGGAGCCTCTCTCGTGGAGACGCTAGGGACCTTCGAGTTGACAGGGACGCCCGAAGCGAGAGAGAGAGAGCCAGGGATAGCCGGGAAGTTCTTCGAGGATTGGAGGCCATCCATCACAAGGAGGGGCCGGTAGGTCCCCGGTGATGCCCCAAATGTTCCCCCCTTTCCCACCATTACATTTGGAGGTTCGTTGAATCAGAGAGACGAGAACTCGAACCGGGTTACTGGTTCACCGAGAATCACTGAGCGGGCTGCCGATGCCGTTGGGGCAGGTGTGAAAGATGGTCGGCTAGCCGATGCGCTCGGAATCGAGGATCGTCCGTCGATCGCTAGCCCGTTAGGGCGAGATCCCAGTGACCTAGAAACACTAAGGTCTAGCAACGAGTTCACCCTTCAATGGGGATCGACCGCCAGGGAACGTAGTGCTTCTGCGAAGAGGCCGTCACCCCTGGCCATTGAGACCGATAGGTCAAAGGCGAGGAGGGCTAGCCCCTCACCAATGGGTTCAACTCCGCAGGATGAGGAGATGCCTGATCCTGCTGATGTTCACATTCACTCTACTCCCGAGTCTCGTGCATCCAACATTGATCCCCGATCTGGCGATAGCCGGAGAAGGGGATCTACCCCTAGCAGGCCATCCAGGATAGGTGAAGGTCCTGTAGGCGACCCCAGAAGATTTGCTAGAGTTAGTGGGGCTCCTGAGAGGATCGAGATATCGACTCCTCCAGCACACAGGTCCCATTCTCCCAGTGAGTCAGGTGACGCCAGGGCAAAGGAGGTGTTTGATCTGCACATCCAGGAAATGCTCGAGCGGGGTGAGGTGTCTAGTTCAGTCGCAAAAGCGTTCCACATCTTTGCTGACCATATCAGGATACTGAACGGTCAGGTGGGTTCCATGCGAAAGGAGTGGAGCGACGAGAATCAGCAGACGAAAGACAAGGTCAATCGTTTGGCGACTGAGATTGCGACTCAATCTGATGCCGGTAGGATGCGAATGATAGTTCAGCGGTTCGCCAGTGAGATCGTCCCGGATAGCAGGGCCATTGTGAGGCAAGCCATCGATGAACAGGCTGAAGTCGTGGATCAGAGGATCAATTTGCTTTCCCACGAGGTTCATGAATCTGTTAAGGACAATGAGATCGCAACTGATCAGCTTCGTCAGATGATTCAAGAGAATCGTGAGGCCACCCGCAGGAGCCATGCTGCTTCCGAGGATGAGATCCTTAAGGACTTAGACAAGCTCGAGGGACGGATGTTCTCGGTAGAGAAAACCGTTGGGATGCGGACGCCAGCAGGTGAATGGATTTTGAGTCCTGCTGCGCAATTGCCCGATAGGGCTACCAGCAGTGGAGCGAACGCGAGTTTCAGGGAGTTAAACCTGAAGCTCGAGAAGGTTCTTCTTGAACACGAGAAGTTTGCTAAGTGGGCCTCCGAATCTATTGGTGGTATTAATGAAGAACAAATCATTCTTGCTGATCGAATGTCGAGGCTGCAAAGTGGGAGGGGTCCCAGGCGGTCGATATACCATCAGGGCCTGTTTCCCCGCAGGACTGGCATGAAGCAATTGACGAGGTCAATCGAAAGGTCCAGGATCTATCTCGCGGAGTTCAACGCCAACATCGGGATCATGACGATGTCATGCGAGATTTGAGACCGTGAAATCCCATGTTGAGCAGTATGAAGCGAGATCGGGAATTCTGAACCGGGTCCTTGATGACATCAGAAGACAGATCCGTAATCTCCCTGCGAATAGTGATCAAGCGCGGTCTGCCGTTAGGCGTGAACTCGATTCATTTCGGAACACGCTTGAAGGCGCAATGCGGAGAATCACTACTGTCGAGAGTAACATGCGTACTCTTAATGGAGTGAACAACAGAATCATGGCTCAGCTCTCTGAAATTGAAGGTCATGTTGATGAGGCTGCTGGCATTATTCAGGGTGTCCAGGACAATCAGATGAATCCTCAACAACCCAGAGAAAGACGGAATGTTGGATACAATGCTTTTGCGGGGCAGGGACATAGAATCAGGTCTCCGACGCCCACTCCCGGAGAAGGTAACGGTCGGGGTACTGGCCTTCCGGTGAGACCGGGCGGGGGTGTTGATTTGGCTGATCATGTTTTGCCAAATGTGCCCGGTAGGGTCGATCCTTCTCATGCAGGCAGGCATCCCATTCATCCCGATAGGGAGAGGGCTGACAGCAGAAGCAGGAGTGAGGGTGCATTCACCGCCAGGGCGTGCGAGGGATGGCCCCCGCGCGCGCACGCAAGGGGGGACATTTCTGTTTCTCCCAGCAGGGGTGTGGGTAGGAATAGGAGTCCGGACATTTCTGTTTCCCCCGACAGGGATGTGGGTAAAAATAGGAGCCCGAGGCCTGCTGCCGTCCCCGATAGGGGATCTGAGGTCCGGAGTCGGCAATCGAGGGAAAGGCCAATCCGCGATAGCGGGAGCATTTCTCCGAACCTGGATAGGCCGATCCGCGATAGCGGGAGCGTCTCTCCGAACCCAGACCGTCATCCAGGAGGTGGTAGGGGTAATAGGGCCCATGCCGACATCCAGAGTCCCGGCTAGCTGGAGGACTCCTGAGTAGAGCTCGTGCCGATATCCAGAGTCCCGGCGATAGCTGGAGGACCCCTGGAACTCCATCCGATCGTGGACGGGCCTCGGCACCGGCCGCAAGAGGAGCTCCCGGTACCGGTGGCCCAGGTGCGCCAAAGATCTGTGCCCTCGATGATCCCAACGACCGTAGGCACCCGGACGCTGAATTCTCGTGTGTTACGTGCAATCGTGAGTTTTGCAGGCTTTGCCGGGGCGACGATGGGGACTGTTGCAATTGTCACTTCTTGAAGATGAAATGTTGGGCATGTCGTAAAAGTGCCCAGGAGGTCTCTATGTATTCCTGCACGGAGTGTGGGAACCACATCTGTGAGGATCACAGTCATTTTGGCAGTGATGGCCTCGAGCGATGTGCGCGCTGTTTTATTCGGCATGTTCGCGCTGAAGCTGGACCGCCCCCTCCTCCTCCTCCTGGGGGAGGAGGTGGGCAAGGCGGACCATCCGGCCAAGGTGGGGGCGGAACATTTCCACCACCAGAACCTGGGCATCCCGGCGG